CTGCTGGGACTCCAGGCCCGAAAGCAGGATGAGCAAGGGCTGGAAACCAAGATTGGCAGCTGAGGTGAGTGGAGTAGGTGGCTGGTAGGCCTGAGCAGAGCTGGAGGCCTGGACCCTGTCTGCAAGACAGCCTCCAACTGGAAGCAAGGTGAGTGGAGCTGCGCGGTAGAGACCCCTGCTGGTGAGGGGCCAGCAGCCAGAACCCCAGGCCAGCAGCCGGTGCTGAGTTGGACCCGCGGCGCGACCCCAGCTGGCAGGAGCCGGCAGCGGGAACTCCAGAGTGGGGCGGGCTGAGCAGCTCAGCCTGCCGCGGCTCTGGGGTTTTCACCGGCGGCTCCTGCTAGCCGGGGTCTCAGTCTGCTGCCAGCCTGGGGTTCCTTCCCCCCAGGCCAGCAGCAGGTGCTGAGTTGGACCCGCGGCGGGTCCCGCAGGAGCCGGCAGTTGGCAGCGGGAACTCCAGAGTGGCGGCGGGGCTGAGCGGCTCAGCCCATGCCGCATGCCAGGAAAAATCAGCTCGCGTGCCGTAGGTTGCCGACCCCTGCCTTATAGACTAAACTGGAGGTCAGAGATTAATGATTTACCCTCACCTGTGAACAGTCATAAAACATACCCTATTTCTACCCTGTAGAAAATAAATGAAGTATGTAAATGTTGTAGAACAGTGGTTTTCAACCTGTGGTCCACAGACCCTTGGGAAGTTGCAGACTATGTCTACGATTTCCAAGGGGTCCGCACCTCCATTTGAGCTTTTTAAGGGTCCACACATGAATAAAGATTGAAAAACACTGGCGTAGAATATCTATCTTGAAGATCTATGCATAAGAATGCACATCACTCTATCTGAGTGTATACACAGTTTTTTATTTGGAAAAAGCACAGCTTGAAGAGTATTTGCACAAAAATAAAAAATCATGGAGTAATATTCCATTTTATATTTTCAAGTTATCTGAATTCTTTATTATATAGTGATTATGGGTTATTATAATAACAGTTTTGAAAATTTATCTCATCACACGGTAGACTGAATGAATTTGTACCAGGACATTTTTTAAAAATGCATAATTTTAAGTATCTTTTAAAAACAGGCACACATGAATAATTGCAGCTTTCAGGTTAAATAACTAAGACAATATATTCCTTAAAATATAACGAATAATAATGTACCTGGAACTAGCAGATTAAAAGATTAATTTAAGAAAATGTATTTAAAAATTTCATTTGAGAAGAATCATATGGATTTATAGGTATAAAATCATTTGGAACTAAAAAACCATCAGCAAAGAGTTATAAATTGCTGAAAAAGGGTAATTACAAGAGAAGTGCTGACACAGCACTAACTATAGCAATTTCCCACATCATCATTTCAAAACTCAGAATCCCAAAAATGAATGATATTTTTGCCTATTCACAGACTGAAATTCACCCCTGCACAGAAAGTCTGGCACTTCGCTTAAAAGCAAACTTCAATGGGGCTTAAGCCTTGCATAGGCCGCTCTGCACCAGGGTAAATTTCATTCCCTACTGCAGGAGCTTTAATTTTTCTTTCCCGGTGAAAAGGATTTGACACACATGAACTTGATAGGAAGAGATACATTATTTGTAACAAGTGTTCACAAAATCAAAATGACTTTAATGTCAATGACCACTTTCATAAATTACTATTTATTTAAGCCCAGGCTATGGACCTCCCTTAGCATAACTAAACTAGCCTCTTAAGTGAGGCCTTTTAACAACTTCATTTACACTGATTGTCATGTGCAGGATTCAGAATAATATTAAGTTTGTATGTGAAGGATTTTTAGATCGGGTTTTTTCATGTTCTAGAATCTAAATAAATATAATCAGCCTCATTTACAAAAGAGCATTTAAAGAGTCCTGGCTGGGATCCTCAAAGGAGCCTAAAGAAATTAGTTGCCAAAAGGCCATCCCTAACTCCCTACGGTTCATTTGAAACCCCAGCCAGACGCTACATAAAGGTAATTCCATTACTGCAAACTTAACTTCAGGAGATAAGTTCCATGCACTGGAAAATACAATACAGTAAAAGCTCTGTTATCCGGCACTCAATTAAGCAGAAAGCTCAATTAACCGGCATTTCTGATATCTCCCAATACAAATCTTCAATCTAGTAACCGGGACTAGTATACTGCCCAGCACGTTATGCAATTGCATATTCTGCACTCTACTTTTATGCAAAAGAGGCAGAAGACAAGTAAGCAAGCTGATATCAGGGATTTCTTCAAAAAAGCAGCTTTCAGGGTGTGTAATAGGGTCATAATAGGCCAATCTCCTACACCTTCTATATCTACAATGATAATTGATGTTGATAATGATGACCCTGAGGCACTGCAAGATCCTAAAGTGCCTTCTGAATCATCAAAGAAAGATTAAATTATGTTTAGTATAGTTTTAGTGTGAAGTGTATTTTTAAATGATCTGGATGTACGCCATGCACTGCCCATAGTGATATGTAGTGTCATAAGAGAACCTACTGTATAGAAAACTTTACCTGTATATACCTAAGTGCTTCAAGAAACCAACCACTCTGCAGTGCAGTACTACTACTGGATTGGTGAGTACCTGTATACTATTTTATACTTTATTCATTTTATTGTATTCTAATTCTTTGAAAATTGGTATTCCATTGTATAACTCTCAGTTAACCAAATATTCGATTAACCGGCACCCCTCTATTCCCCCAACATGCCAGATAACAGAGCTTTTATTGTAGCTATTCCTTTGTAGCTTCTATGAACATGGGATTTTGAATTCCATGAAGCTGAACGTGGGGAAGATCTTTTGGATAAACCTTAAAAATCCAAAGGTCTTGTCTCCTCTTCATGAGTATTAGAGAGCCATTGATACAGGTTTGCTTAAGGCTCTGCCAAAATTTTGCTGCCATTGTTCAGTGAAGTACCTATGTCCTTGTTGTATACCCAATTTAACCTGCAACTAGCTCCCAGAGACAGATGCATTCCATTGCTATTATGTGAATAGAATTTGTAAGGCACTTTGGAATCTTTAGAATAAAAACGCACTTACACTGTGAGACAATGTATTAATTCCCCAGTTCCACTCAGTATAACCCTAAATCCTGACCCAGAAGCACCATTCTCTTAGAGAGGCAAAAATTCTGATTTTGAAGGTAAATTCACTGTACTTGTCACACATTCCTAACTGTACAGCTACTTTAATGATTTTGTTAAAATAAATCCTTATGATACTGTGATTACTGTCTAAACTGAGCTGAGACCAAGACTTTAGCCAGTCTTCAATTACAAAGAAGGTTCCAGGTTTATCCACCAAATCAGACTATCACTAAAATCTAAAGTAATTATATGTAACAATTGTTCAAGTTCAAAATAGGCTATTAAGGGCAGCCAACAACAACAACATGCGTTCTGGAGAACACAATATCCAATACCAAGGCAACTAAAAATCTATGCTTCTGCATATATAGGTTTTCTCCTTTAATCTAAATTACTATTTTTTTCTAATCTACCCTCAACTACTTTCTTACAAAATGATCAGATGTTTACATAGGTAAGTGGCTTTATTGCTCCTATAGCAGGCAGTAAGTGGTTTATGAAAAACTAAAGTGTGAACAGCACTCCAAAATACTTTTAACAGTTAACGCCAATTAAAGTAAATTAATTTGTTTCAAATTCACTTATGCTTCCCTACATACACATTTAAAACTGTACATTTTCCTATTTATGAGTATAAATTCTGCCCTCCAATACTTGCCTGCAATTCCTTGAATTCAATGGGAGCTACACCATGTGTGCATCAGACAGAATTTAGGATTATGACTTGTTTTTGTTTTTATTTCAAATATTTATGTTATTTAGATTTATAAAACAAGCATTCAAACGCTTTGAAAGCCTTTAGATAACTTTCACAATAAATCTTTGACTACTCAAATCACTCCAAAGATATACAAAGATATCCCAGCAAACTTATGACAAAAAACCCTCCACAAGAGGCATAACAACCATTTTAAAAATTCCTCCAACTCTTAACCTGCCACCTCCCCAAATACCTAGAAGAACAGATGAAATATGCAAAGTATTAAAATCAAGTTCTGATAGACTAGGGAGACAGAGAGCAAAGTTAAAGACCCTCAAAATGCATACTGTTAGCAACTCCCTCCCTTACACTAAGCATGTTCCAGCTCAAGAAAACCCACTAATTTCAACTGTGGCAGTTTGGCTTCAGGAGAGAGGCAGTCTCTCTTTCACATACTAGGTCATAAACCTTAAATTCTAAAATTTCAAAACTTCCAATCTAACATTGGGTGAAAACATTTCTCTCCAAAACTATAAATTACAAATAGATTCAATCGAAGTTCATACAGAACACGTTGGCTTCTATTATGGTCATTTCTCTAGATGCTGCCAAGTGGCTCTGATAGTTACATGTAAACATTAAAGCCAGGTCTATGCTACAAAGTTTTATCAGCACAGCTATGTGGGATAGGAGTGTAGGGAAAAAAACAAAACACCACTCCTAAACTATGTCTCCCCAACCCCTCCCACCACCACCCAATGTAGAGACACAATTATACCAGCAAAAGGACTCATTTTGCCAGTATATGCTGCATTTTCACTAAAGGGCTTTGCTGGTATAGCTATACCAGCACAGCCTTTGTAGTGAAGACTAGACCTAAGTATTGCCTTCAAATAAATAGGAGAATGTGCATCAGATTCATTAAGTTACCAATCATGAGTTACCTTTAAACGTTAGACTAGTATATGGATCAAAATCTCAAATTCCTCCCTTTTTAAAAGAAAACATACTTCCTTGTAAATAATTTGATTTTTCTTTTGTTTCACTAGATGAATATTGACAAAAAGCAATGAAATGTATATTCAACATTAGGTGCATCAAAATACCTACATTACAGTACATGTAATCACTTATAGGCTGACATTCTGGAATTAAAATATTTATCTTAAGAAAATTGTTTGAGGAGCAGGTATTATGAAATACTGTCTTACCTGGTAGATATCAGAAAGGCTGCTGCTTCCAGAATCACTAGTGATGCTACATCCTGAGTGACTAGAGGTAACGTGGGTCACCTGTGGGTGGAGACTGTCAGTAAGATGCAGTTTTGTGAAATCTGCAGGAAGCTACAGATGGAGTAGAAAAAGCAGCATTACAATATGGATCAGGTATGCACTCCAAAACACATTTAAATTGTTCATGCCACATTTTACTCCCTGCCAGGACCAAAAGCTGTCCAAAACGTATTAAGAAGGCTCTTGGAGTTTGAGGATACAGCTTGCAACTTTAAGATTTATAGTTAAATTTGCTAACAGTTCAACAAAGTATCACAAGTGTAGCTTGCTTCAAATGTAACAAGAGATACAAAGACCATATCTAAAAACAAACACTGATGAACAAAATGTACTTCAATTCCAATGCTATGTTTAGATATAACTAAATTCCATGAGAGCCTTTTGTCAGTTTAAACAGTAAGGGTTTCTTGAAGGATGGGATTAGGAATGACCAATGTTGTATAGTAATTCCTCACTCAACATTGTAGTTATGTTCCTGAAAAATGCAAGTTTAAGCGAAACAATGTTAAGCGAATCCAATTTCCCCATAGGAATTAATGGTAAACGGGGGGGGGGGGGTTAA